ATTGTTTTTTGGTCAAACATTCTTCTAAGTGGTATAGCACTGGTCTTTTCATTTGCTGTACAGAGGTAACTCTTGGTTGTTGTGAGGCTAAACACTGTGACACTGATGTGTCATGTACAATAATGGTTACCTATGGTGGACAATATTTGTTGGAGCTTCCCGATTAAAACAAGCTTGGAAGCAGGACTGGCATCCACTTCGGAAATAGCTTGTCTCTGGAAACTCTATGAACATGGAGAAACTGTGAGAATTATATAAGTGTTCAGGTCTTTTGTTCATAGGGTCGCTTTGAGTCATCTATTGCTCAACCACAGTTAACAACACAATAAGGATACTGAAGATTTCATAAAGCCCTATTGTGCTCATAAAAAGTAGAAACAGAATGACTGATTTTTTAAAGCTATTTACTCCTTTATGATTGTATTAGTTCCTAAAAGTTTTGTGAAATACTTGTGTGTAGAAAATGTTTTCACCTATCATAATATTTTAGCATATTCTTTTATATTAATTTTCAAAAACTAAGACACATTGAATGTCCTAATAATTTCTGTGATTCTCAATATGCTAGCCCTCTAATAATTACTTTGACTTTAAATATACTAAAGCACTCATATGGAAATAAAAAGTGCAATTAAGGTTTCTTCAATAATAAGCATCAGTAATTGGAAAATAAGGTCTTGATGACAAGTGAGGATGTAGATAGAATCAATAATTTATTAATAGAAAATACCTTTTATAGATAATAAAAACAGCTACTATACTCATGGTCTTCACCTGATGGACTGTGCATAAATCAAATTGATTACATCTGTGAAAAGAATCATAGAAAAAGCTCAATCTCAGTTGTGACAACTAGGTCAGGTGGTAACTGTGGAACAGATCATTGGTTACTCATGTGTAAATTTAAACTGCAGCTAAAGAAAACAAAGCCATAAGAACAAAATATGGCTTTAGTCTATCCCACCTGAATTTAAAAATAATTTTGAGAACAGACTTGAGGCCTTGAACAATAAGGAATGAAGACTAGAGTTGCCGTGAGATTATTTCAGGAATATCATCCATGAAGAATGAGTAGGTCATTACAAGGAGGAGAGAAAGAAAAGACCAAAGTGATGCCAGAAGAGTTTTAAAACATTACATGAGGAGCCAACGCAAAGGGAAGAAACTAGGAAATTAAAAAGCTAAACAGAAGATTTCAAAGAACAGCTCTGGAAGACAAGAACAAAGTATTATAACAAAATGTGTAGAGTTGTAGTCAGAAAAAAGAGATGAACTCATTTGGCATTTCTTAAGCTGAAGAAATTGGAGAACAAATTCAAGCCTTTAATTTTAATACTTGAATATACTATAGGCAGAATATCGTATAATACACGAAACATCAGTAGAAGATGGAAGGAATACAGAGTCATTGTACCAAAAAATAATTGGCTGACACAGAAGGGTTTCATGAAACAGCATATGATCAACAAGCAATGGTGATGGAGGAAGAAGTTCAAGCTGCTCTGAAGGAATTGGCAAAAAATAAAGTCCCAGAAATTGATGGAATACCAATTGACATATTTCAACAAACAGATACAGCCCTGGATGTGTTCACAAGATTATGCCAAGAAATCAGGAGGACAGATGCCTGGTCACCTGACTGGGAGACATCCAAATTTATTCTCTTTTCCGTAAAAGATAATCTGCCAGAGTGTGGAAATTTTCAAACAATATCTCTGATATCATACAAAAGCAAAATCCTGCTGAAGATTATTTATAAATTACTGGGACATTACATTGACAGAAAACTGCTAGAAATATAAGCTGGGTTTAGAAGAGGCCATTGAATTAACAGCATAATTTCCAATGTCAGATGGATCTTGGATGAAAGCAAATAGTGGCCGGAGAATGTCTCTATTTGTGGTTCATTGATTATGCAAAGGCATTTGACTGTGTGGATCACAAGTTGTGTCAATATTGAGAAGAATGGGAATCCCAGAACACTTGATTTTGCTCATGCAAAAACATCTATTTAGATCAGAAATCAATAAATGAAAGATTGCATGATTAAAAAATCAAGAAAGAAGTGCATCAAGAACGTGTCCTTCTCCATACCTTTTCAATCTGTATGTGGAACAGTTTATTCGGATGGCTGGACTTTATGAAGAAGAATGTTCTGGGCATGTTCCCAGAAGAACACAGTCCTTAGAGAAGGACATCATGTTTGAAAGGGTAGAGGGTCAGAGCAGAGAGGACATCCTAGATGAGATAGATTGACACAGTAACTGTGGCAGTGGGGACAGGTGTGTCAGAGACAGTGAGATTGACTCAAGATAGGGCAGGATTCAGAGCTATTGTTTATAAAGCTGGTATGAGTCATAGTTGACTCAATGGTATCTAATAACAATAACAATAATAAGCTGAAGTACCTAGATTTATATATATTTATATTTGTTGTTTGGTATTATCAGCAGATTAAAAAGAAAATACTTGTTTATTTACAATGCTTTGCAATGTTTCTATTTTACTTTGATGTTTATCTTTTACTTGATTATAGAAATAGATAATCTAATGTTCCTGTGACAATCACCTAAAACACAAAAAGTTTATTGCTTAATTGCTGTGAGATCAGGCTCATATGATCTTGGTGATATAACAATGTTGTATTGGTAAACTATGTACAAATGAAAATTGAGCTTTTACAAATATTCAGAGTCTAGTGCTCACCAAACCCAAACTTTAGAATTAAGATTTTGTACTTCCTTCCAGTTATTTTATGCATATGTTTACAGCAAAAGTGTTCTGATACAGCATGTTATTTTATAATATACCTTTGAGCTCAATTTTATTAAATCCTTACACAATTAGAGATTACTAGTTTACATTAATTGGCTGCTTGCTTTGTGACACATTCCTTTTTCTGATTTCCAAAATAGCACTATGGAACAGAGAACATTGTCAACACATTAGTGAATAAGGAGGCCCCTAAAAGACTGTAAATAGCTTTCCAGGAGCATATAACAAGGATGTCGTGTGGATGAATTGAGTCAAATTATCTGACACCAGACCCAAAACTTTAAATTGAAATGTTGTACTGCCTCCAGTTAATTATTTTATGTATATATTTATAACAATGATATTCCAATAATATGTATATTTTTTATTTTGTAATATTCTTTTGCTGTGTTTCTATTGAGAAAGTATGATATTATTCCAAGTGTCTGCATGTTGTTGTGTGCCATTGAGTCAGAACTGTACAAGAGCTGACCCTCCAGCAGGTTTTCATTGGTAGTTAATTGTAAATAGAGATTGCCCATCCTTCTTCTGCAGAGAAGCTGGTGATTTTGAACCACATGCCTTCAGGATTGCCACACAAGATCATTAATATAGATGCTCTGTACTTTATTTAATCAAATCTCATGACTGTTGACAATTTAAACATTTTTATATTATAAGTAAGACTGATGAATTAGCTAGAATCTTTGCTCCCTCCTTCCCTAATTTTTAAAGTGGAATTGCTACTTTTTTGTTTATCTTTAGAGTCAGAATCCACTACAGGTAATCATATGATATTTTATCATTATACTATTGTATATACTTGAATTTGGAACGAATAGATCAAAGAAAGAAGATCTTTATAGATTTTATTTCACAAGCACATATAGATATGTGCTTCAGATATTTTACAGAAGGGATAACTGTTACTGTAGATTATTTTACCCTCAAATAACAATATTCAATTGACTTATGTACCGGAATAACGAAGGAAACTCTGGTGGCCTAGTGATAAAAAGCTGCACTGTAATCCCAAAGGCACATGTTCCAAATATACCAGCTATTCTGTGGGAGAAGGAAGGGTATTTTCCTTTCGTGCCATTTACTGCCTCTGAAAATTCCCTGGAGGGTCAGCTATTGAGCAGTTCTGACTGTACAGCACACAACAAAAACCAGAGTAGCTAAGAGGTTAACTGTTTAAATACACACACATGTAGAATGTATACACACACAGAGGCATACATCACAGTTAAAAAGATATATAAAAATTTAAATCTTTTAATTAGAATACAGAAGTTATTAAAAAACTATCTGGCACATGCAATATAATTTAACTGAACTGTTTATTTAATAAATAATCACTAATTTATGCAAGTCAAGTACTATCCTGAATCTTGGTAACCATTATGTCTGAGTATTTTAAAGAGGAGAGAAAAATAATTCAGTCATATTTCTTGAATTCAGTCTAGTCGAGATTCAGCTGGTTCTGATCTATCTTTGCTTCTTGAAGCGACAGTCATGATATCAAAACACATACGGCATGTAACAAGAAAATTTGAAAGATGAATGAAAGAATCCCTCATATATTATGTTGTTGTTGGTGAGTTGAAACCCACTCAGAGCTGACCCTTCAGTGGGTTTTCAGGGGCAGTAAATCACATGAGCAGATGTAGCCCATCCTTCTTCCATGGAATAGCTTGTGGATAGAACCACATACCTTTGGGATTGCAGTGCAGTTTCTTGATACTAGAGCTCCCTAATTAAAGGATGCATAATCATAAATTAAAGAAAGACAGAAACTAAGAACTTTCTACCCACAATGAACTGTTCTGAGAATGCTTATAATTTGTTTGATATTGCACTGGCGAGGAAATACTTCCTTTTTTAAATTAAGTATTCCTCTTTTAAAACTAATGATGTTAGAGTGTTAATAGGGAGATTTGGTGGCTTAGTGGTTAGGTAGTTATTTGCACTGTCAACTCAAAGGTGAATGGCTTGACTCTACAAGCTATGAGTCTTTTCCAGTTAAACAGCAATGCATATCAAGGATGTGAATATAGTTTGACTCAATATTGTAATCTTAACAGAGCCTCCTTAATTTGTTCTTTCATTATGTTCTTATATCATGACTATTGTTTGAACTTATATGACTTATTAAAACAACAGAGATGTCAAGCATACCAGGGTGATAGTGGAACCATTTAGAACTTCTGAATTAATGATTCTTTGATTTTCTTTTATTTAAGGTGGACCTTTTCCAGAAGATTTTTCAATCTTATTTACAGTAAAGCCTAAAAAGGGAATTCAGTCCTTCCTTTTATCCATATATAATGAACATGGCATTCAGCAAATTGGTGTTGAGGTTGGGAGATCACCTGTTTTCCTGTATGAAGATCACACTGGAAAGCCTGCCCCAGAAGACTATCCTCTCTTTAGAACTGTTAACATTGCAGATGGCAAGTAAGTAGAACAATAAGAAAATACTTTAATTCTTCTGATTGTAATAATTTTACTCAGTAACTCAATAAATATGTAGTTAATATCATGCAATTTTTCTAGGTGCTTGCCATTTATTAATTTAAAAAAACCAGTAAAATTTCTTCTCTCTTGTTTACTTTGTAGTCTAGGAAGATACATAATGAAATGAAAATACTGATGAGTAGTTTATGAGGTCATGATAAGTGAGAGAGAAAAATAGAATAATGAAGAAGAGGAAATGAAATATTTGTCCTTTTGTGACTGACATATTTCAATCAGCATAATGTATTTCAGGGTCCCCCATGTTGTGTAATGTTCTACAAATTCATCGTTTTTCATTGCTGTGTAGTATTCCATTGTATGACTACACCATAGTTTTTCTATCCATTCATTATCTCAGTCACAAAAGGACAGATACTACATAGCACCACTGTTATGAGTCTGACATGGGGGTTTGGGAGGAGAATAAGATAAGAATGGCTAGGTAATGACCATTGCATTGGAACAGATGGAAGAAAGAATTATCTAAAATAAATAAGTGATTAGGCATTATGTTTACGACAACAGCCCAGATTAACAGAAACATCATTACAAAGAAGACTGGGGGCAGGGAGGTAGTAATTGTGCAACAATGAACAAATATTTTTTTAAAGTGAATTATGGGAGAGAGAAGGGAGGGTAAGAAAGTAAAATGTGCAACAAAGAATAAATAAAAATCGCACTTACCTGTAAATGTTCATTAAAATCACAATTAAAAGAAAATTTTATTAAATAAAATAAAAGAAATAGCAATGGCAAGAAGGTCATAAGTAGTGATATCAGGGAAAATTTCAAGGTGGCCTGTTATGAGACAACTTAAGGCTCTCCATGCTGACATTTGAGAGGATAGAATTTCAAAACGAGGGGGAAGAAAACACAAAACCAAGCTGTAGCTGATTTTTTTGAGATACTCTAAGGAAACCATAATGGTCGGAACAGGAAAAACTGTGAAGCCAGATGATGTTGTAGGTGATGGTAATCATGCTCAGTTCTACACTGAAGTGGGAAGTTATATAGGGATAATAAGGGTCAATAATGAATGAGTCTGTTTTAACTTGATGGTACACAACAATTGTTATGTGCCATTGAGTCACCTGCAACTCACAGTGACCCTATACAACAGCTCAGAAGCCTGCCCTGTCCTGAGCCAATCTCACTGACTCCAACACACCTACCCCTCCTTGCCCCCATTACCATACCAATCCATCTCATCGGGGGTCTTCCTCTCCTTCACTGTCTTTCCACTCTTCCGAACATGATGTCCTTTTCCAAGGACCTGTCCCTCTTAGCCATGTGCCCAAAGTATGGAGAAGTAGCTTCAAAATCCATGTGCTTTACAGCCTCTGAAATCAGGTCATTTCCTACGTGACTGCAATGAGTGAGTGAGTGAGTTTTGTAGTAACCACTAGAAGGTAAAAAAAATTCTGAAAAAATACTTTTGAAGGTCACAAAAAATTCTGATTTGAGACCATAGCATAAGAAGGCAAAAGTGGTAAAGAAAGAATTGGGACCTTGTTAAATATTCTTAAGGAAGGATGAAAATTGCTGGAACCAAGGTGCTAATGATAGTATATGAATTGAGCACTACCTAAAGGATTCCATTTTCAGCTCTAATTGTAGAAAATTCAAATACATAGAATTTTTTTCCTTAAAATTGACAGATTATATACATTTTATTTGATTTAGTATTAGCTCTGTAATCTATTTTCAAAAAATCAAATAACTTTATTTTTTAAATATATAAAATATATATGAAATCAGAATTAAAATATCAATTTAAATTTCTATTTTTTTAATGTACATTGCCTTTAACCTTGTTGGAAACTAAATACAAATAAACTTATTAAGTGTACTTGGTTTTTTGTTAATGCCCTTGAATTTTTACAAATAGCTTTCCTAACGATATGCCTTTTGATTATATATATATAAGAAACAATTGTCAGTGCAGATGGGGAAATAAATGCCTATTCAGGATAATTTCTGATAGTTCTCTGTGAATGTACTGTTTCAGTTGTTTCTGTATAATCTTCAGCAGGATTTTGATAATATGTGGTATTAGTGATATTGTTTGATAATTTCCACACTCTGTCGGGTCACCATTTTTTGGGATGGGAATAATTATGGATCTCTTCCAGTCAGTTGGCCAAGTAGTTGTCCTCCAGATTTCTTGGTACAATGGGCATACATCAGGACAGCATCTATTTTTTGAAATATTTGAATTATTATTCCATCAATTCTTGATCCATCAATTACTGAAATAGTAAATTGACAGAGAACTACCATAAATACAAGCTGGGTTTAGAAGAGGTTGTGTCACTAGAGACATTATTGCCAATGTCAGATGGATCTTGGCC